TTAATTTACCAAATTTTTTTTGTGTATCTATAATGGAACAGGCTTTCAGTCATTGAACATGCAATAATGAAGTAAATAAGGCAAAGGCCCTACCTTAAGAAACCTACAATCTCCCAGGAAAAATAAATAGTGAAAATACACTATGTAAGTGTTGTAACAGGTTGAGTATAGGATGTTATGGATGCACATAAAAGATGATCCAATGCTGTCTTAAGAAAGACTAGGGCTATCAGGGCCATAGTGGGGGAAACTAATGTATAAGCTGAGACCTGAGGACAAATGGGAGTTATTCAGGCATAAAATATTGATGGAGGAAAAATAGTCCAGAAAAATGTCTAACAGCCAGAGAGAATATAGCACATCTGGGGCATACCTGGAGCATGGAGTTTTTGCTGGAGGGATGACTAAAGATGAATGAGACACGATAGCAAGCAGAGACTAGATTATGAACAGCCTTGTTATTAATATTAGAATCTATACTTTATCATAAGGAAACTAGGGAACCATTGATGTTTTTAAAGCAGGAGAATGATTTGACCAGATTTGTACTTCAGAAAGATCATTCATCTCTCCTGGTAGGAAATTGATAGGTAATATGTAAAACTGAAAAATCGGGAAGTAAAAGTATAAACGTTACTGAGAAATAAGGGGGTAAATATTAGAAGAAATAACTAAAAGAATTGAGAGTGTTATCCTTGGGGAGTGGGAATTGGGGTAGGGAAGAGATAGGGAACTGATTTTTTTTTTTTCCTTCCTATAAGCCTTGTAGAAGATTTGACTTTCCTAATCTACATGCAGTGTAGCATAGTGGTTAAGAGTATGGACATACTATGCAGGTGGCATGATATTATACATAGAAAACCCTAAAGACTCTACCAAAAACTGTTAGAACTAATAACTGAATTCAGCAAAGTTGCAGGATATACAAAATTAGCACACAGAAATCTGTTACATTTGTGTATACTAACCACGAACTAGCAGAAAGAAATCAGGAAAACAATTCCATTCACAATTGCATCAAAAAGAATAAAATACGTAGGAATAAACCTAACCAAGGGGGGTGAAAGACCCTTATTCTGAAAACTGTAAGACACTCATGAGAGAAATTAAGACACCAGTAAATGGAAGTCTATCTGGTGCTCATGGACAGGAAAAATTACTGACAAAATGGCCATCCTGCCCAAAGAAATTTACAGATTCAATTCAATCCCTATCAAACTACCAATGACATTCTTCAACAAACTAGAACAAGCACTTCTAAAATTCATATGGAACCACAAAAGACCCCGAATAGCCGTAGCAATCCTGAGAAAGAAGAACAAGGCTGGGGGATTACACTCCCTGACTTTAAGCTCTACTACAAAGCTACAGTAATCAAAACAACATGGTACTGGCATAAGAACAGACCCATAGATCAATGGAACAGTATAGAGAGCCCAGATATAAATCCACATATACTAATATACGATAAAGAAGCCATGAACTTACAATGGGGAAAAGACAGCCTTTTTAAAAACTGGTGTTGACAAAACTAGACAGTTAGCTACACATAAGAGAATGAAACTGGATTACTGTCTAACTCCATGCACAAAAGTAACCTCAAAATGGATCAAAGACCTGAATGTAAGTCATGAAACCATAAAGCTTAAGAGAAAAACAGATAAAAATTTCTTGAATATAAGCATGAGCATTTTTTTTCTGAATACATCTCTTTGGGCAAGGGAAACAAAAGAGAAAATGAACAAACGGCTACATCAAACTAAAAAACTTCTGTACAGCAAAGGACACCATCAGCAGAACAAAAAGGCATCCCATAGTATGGGGGAATATATTCATGAATGACTCATCTGATGAAAGGTTGACTCCAAATACATAATGCATACTCCTCAGCACTCAAAAAACAAATAACCCAATTAAGAAATGGGCAGAAGACTGGAATGGACACTTCTCCAAAGAATAAATACAAATGGCCAGCAGGCCCATGAAAAGATGTTCACAAGTCGTCAGGGAAATGCAAATTAAAAACACAATGAGGTAACACCTCACACTAGTTAGGATGGCCACTATCCAAAAGACAAGAAATAACAAATGCTGCTGAGGATATGGAGAAATGGGAACCCACCTACACTGTTGGTGGGAATGTAAATTAGTTAAACCATTGTGGAAAGCAGTATGGAGGTTCCTCAAAAAACTAAAACTGTAAATACCACTTGACCCAGTAATTCCACTCCTAGGAATCTACCCAAAGAAAGCAAAACGCCTGATTCAAAAAGACATATTCATCCCTGTGTTTAACACTGCACTATTTACAATAGAAGATGTGAAGCAACCTAAGTGTCCATCAATAGATGAATAAAGATATACATACACAATGGAATATTATTCAACTATAAAAAGAAAGGAAATCTTGCCATTTACAACGACATGAATGGATCTATAGTGTATTATGCTCAGTTAAATAAGCCAGGCAGAAAAAGACAAATACAATATGATTTCACTATTTGTGAAGTACAAAAACAAAGCAAAACAGAAGGAACAAATTAGCAGTAGACTCATAGACACCTAGAAAGGACTAGTAGTTATCAAGGGGGAAGAGTTAGAGTCGGCGGGGGGGTAGGGTAAAGGTGATAAATGGGTACAATAATTCACAATCACAATATAAGTTGGTCAAGAAAGTATGGACACTAAAGGTCAGTCTCCCTGAGTCAAAACTTGCTTCCACTCTTTAGAAGTTTATCTGTTACTAAATTTTCCTGTCTGTAAAAATGGGGAAAACAATAATAGAATTTACCTCAAAGAATTTTGGTAAGGATTAAATGAATGAATACAAGTAAGACTTAACTGTGTGGTGTGTAATACAGTATTAGCATTATTATTGCATGTTAGCAGAACTCAGATAATGATATCAAAGGAGAATAGACAAGTTTACAGAGCAGGGTTTTTCTTTAAATGTTGCTCTTAGTAATCAAGAGAGTAAGCAGACATAACAGGTGTAGAGTTCATAATGCACATATAAAGAATGTTGTATCTAACAACTATAGAGTACATATTCTTTCCAAGAACACATGAAACATTTATAAAATTGACAAGAAATTTTCAGATATTAAAGTGAAATTACATAAATTCTGATGTCTATTCACAATGCATTTAACTAGAAGTTAACAAAAGATGACTAGAAAATTCCCCAAAATATTAGTTTAAAAAATTATTTAATTCATATTAACTTAGAAGTTAAAAAAGAATCATAATTACAATTGGAAAATAATAAAGTACTATATATCAAAATTTGAGATGTTGTTTAAGTTTAGTTAAAGTTTTACATGTGTGTCCTAGAAAAGAATACCAGAAAATTACTGAGTTTTTGTTCAAGGAAACTGAAAAAAGGAAATAAAAGAGTAGAGCTTTGTAGCATAGGAAACATTTGAAAAGTTAGTTTTATAGACAACAGCCAGTGGCTAGTCCTGTAAGTAGGCTAAATGTTATGCCTGCTATGTTAACTTCCTACTCATTAAAGATGTGAAACTACAAGGACTGTGATAGACTGCTAGGAGGAGAGTGAATTGGTACATCCACCTTGGAAAAGTTCTGCATTATCTAACAAAGCTAACCTTGCATTGCCTTTCTTTTACGTATGAACTATAGAAACTGCTATGTATATATATGTACCAGAAGACATATGTAAGAATGCTTGTGGCCTCATTGGTAGCTGTTCAAAATTGTGGAATAGCTAAATTATGGTATGTTCAAATGCAATAGAATAGTACAATACAGTAGAATACACAAATGGACAGTAATTAATAGCTAGATGCATTGATGTTATATATTGACATTATGTTATAATAAAGCTCATAAATTTCATTCAAAAGGAGCAAGACACAAGATGATATTCAAAATTATCCTATTTGTATAAAGTTCCAAAACAAACAAAAGAAATATATTGTTTAGGAATACGCAAATAAGGGTGGGTAAGACTATATAATATACCATTCCATACATACCATAGTAGATGATCAGTAAATATTATGATGAATAATGGGCAGTTTTTATTTCTGAAGAAGTGGTGAATACCAATTTAAAAAGATAAATTTACGTTTTACTGTGTTTTGTAGCATATAAGGAAGGAAATGACAAAGATAGCTTGTGCTTATAAATTTTCTTCTGTGTAAATAATAAAACCCTCTTCAGGCTTTCATGTAGATACAAATAGCTGAAGTATGAAAATTAAACATCTATGTAGTAAACAAACATAGCATACATTTAGGCCAGCATGTGTATGTATGAGAATTCCAGAAGAAATACTTGCAACCCAAGAGGTTATGGAATTAATTTATTATCTTTACTAATCTCATTTTTCAAGTAATTCTCCTCAGAATCCATTGGAATATCTGTTATCTTCAAAAAATGGCATAGTATCAAGTTTATCACTGTTCTTTCAAGTAAACTCTTACTGTTAGCTCACTGTATCTGACTTTTTTAAATTGCCATTGTGTCTTTTTTTGAAACTCCCTTTCTGATTCTGTCTTGTGGCTAATTGGGATGGATGGTGTAACAAAATCCTTTATATACTTTATCTTTTATATTTAAAATAATGTTTAAAAATTATTGAACCACTTTTTTCTGCCTCATAAATCCTGTTCACAGTGAAAGGTTTCAAGTGGAGGTAGTAAAACTCAAAAGTGGGCACTTGAGTAATATATGAGAGGAACGGGATGGAAACTGTCATGTCTAGCATACACATCCTTCCTATCTAATCAGGGCAACTCCTGCTCAAATCCATTTGTTGCCATGAAGGAATGTGGACCATAATGCCAAATGTTCTGATTTTTCAAAATATGTCACAGATTTGGCAATCAACAAAAAAATTTCACACACTGTGCAAGTGATCCAAAACAAGCCTATGGGCAGGATTTAGTTGCCAGGCTACTATTCGATTGCAAACAACCTAAAGGGATATATAACTCTGGTGAAATTAATTGTTTTTCATTGTGTTTGACATATAGTCGACAGAGGTACGTTCTTGGAGACATAGCAATGCAGAAGATGGCCAAATCCCATGTTTTCTTAAGTGGTATGGGTGGTCTTGGTTTGGAAATAGGTAAGTAGTGTTTCTATTCATAATTTTTTTGATACTTTTGAGCAATATAATTTGAAGAATTTAACTCTTTCCTCTTTTATTATTTCCTATAAAGGAAATTAGATAAAAAACCTTGATCAGGTTCCACTTTGTTTTGTTTTTTTTTTCTTGGCAAGACTATTTCATGATATTGTTGTATTTCTTCCACAAGGAACCAATTAATGATTCTCTTGCTTCTCTTTTTGTAATGTTAATAGCCATTAATGATCATTCTCTATATCCTTTAATTCATTATGGTAGAGCACGCATACATATATTCATAACAACATGTCTGTAAATAATAATGACAAAATTTTAAGAGTGATTATCTCAGTGTAGTATGATTATGGAAAATTTTATTTTTTCCTTTTTGTTCATCTGTGTTTTCTAAGGAACTTGTATTTCTTCAATAATAAAAATGTTAAAATTATCCAGAGATGTGACTAAGCTCCATGAAGATATATCTAATATACATTCTTAATATTAAGCTATTCCTTTTTCTTTTTTTTTTTATAGCAAAGAATCTTGTTCTGGCAGGAATTAAGGTAAGTGAGTAAATGTCTTTGGTAAAAAGAATTGTTTATTAAAGGACTTTTTTTTTTTCGCTCATCACTAGTGGTTTACATAATATTACCTAATAATAATATGGTCTAATTGTTGTTTCTTCATTTAGTAGCAAAACTAATGCTCCTCTTTGAAAACAATTTTTTCCTCTTTTAAAAAAATTTTTTCATTATAGAAAATTTGAAAATTATACAAAAGCAAGCTTAACAAAATCTCTTATACCCATGATGCAGTTGTAATTATCAGATCATAAACAAATTTATTTCATGTATCTCTTTCCCATTCGCCACTGCCTCCCAACCACCAAATTATTTTGATGTAAATCTCAGATATTCTATTATATCATCCTTATATATTTTAGTGTTTACCTCTAAAAGATAAGGGTGCCTTTTGAAAACATAACTACAATACCATTTCAACCTAAAAATTAACAATTTCTTAATATCATTATATTATCTATTGCTGCAAAACAAATTACCCCTAAAATTTAGCAACGTAAACAACAGCACTTACCCTGACACAAATTAGCTGGTTTCTTGGTTTGAGAGTCTCTCACAAAATTCCAATCAAGATTTTGGCAGGCCATGCAATCATCTGAAGTCTAAGGAAAGGATTAGGATTAGTGGCAAGGTTCTGCCAGTTCACATTCCCACCTCAGTTCCATGCTGCCTGTTGATCAGAGGTTGCTGTGTGGCTTTCTCCATAAGATAGTTCACAGTATGGCATTTTGCTTCGTAAGGGTAAGCTAGCAAGAAGACAAGAAACGGAATATGCTATCAAGACCAGTCTTTTGTAACGTAATCTCAGAAGTGACATTCCATTGTCTATACTTCTTACTTTTTGTTAAGAGCAAGTTACTAGGTCCAGCTTACAAGTGTAAGGGTAGGGAATAACACAGAGGCCTGACTACCAGGAAGTGAGGATCTTTGGGGCCATCCTACAAGTCTGCCTACCACGATCATCAAGCATCTCATTTTCAAATTCTCCCAATTGTCTTAGAAAAAGTTATTTTTATTATTTCTTTTCTTCTAATCAGGATCCAAGTAAAATCTGTATACTGAATTTGGTTTCTTTGCTCTCTTATTTCTTTTTTCTCCTTGCAATTCACTTGCTAAAAGAAATAAGGTCATTTATTACATATACCTATATTTCCTATAAATAGACTTAGATTTGATTATTTTGGCACTACTACGTAACAGGTGATATTGTATTCTCTTGTCAGGAAGAAATAATATTTTGTCCTTTTTGTAATTATTACTAGCTATTAATAATCATTGACTAGATTCATTATTGTATTAGGGTCAAGGATATCTAATTCTATTATTTCTTCTTCATTTAGTACCTAGAATAATATTTTAGAATGAAAATTTTCCATTCAGCACTCACTTGGTTTCCCTGGTTTGTACATGTACAAAACACAGGATGAGTACTTGGTATTTTTTCCCTTTAATTTACTAGCTTTCAAAATCAGTGGTTTTCCTGCCATCCTCTAACAGTGACCAGTTAGCTTGTATTGTGTGTATGTGTATGTCAACATCATGATAAACTCGTGGATTTAAATATATTTGATGTGTTTTGATCCATTGTAGTTGTTATTCTCATAGATGCTCAAATTGTTTCATCTTTGTTTTGGGATATTCTTCAAGTTCTTGAGTCTTTGACACAAGCCCAGTAGTCGCTGATTACCACCGATTGTAGTTTTTTTGTAAACAGCTAGAACACTCATCATGAGTGAACACTGACATTTCTGAGTTTTAAGTTTAGGATTATAGTGTATTTACTTGTTTGATTTTTATATTTGTATCTCTTCTCTTCTAAAAGGCTTTGGGTCTTTGTGACATGGACCTAATTACTCATTTGCTTTATCCTACATTATATTCTACCTATGACATAGTTTCAGAAAAACAGTCTAATATTAATAACAATATAATTTTTTTTAACAATTGGATATTTTTTTTAATCCCTAGGGTTGGTCTATCCCATCTGGATTTGGCAGGCAAATTGTCTGCTTTTTTAAGTCATTTTAAACAATTCCTCTGGGTAGTTATGCAACAAATGCAATAGATAGTTTTAGTTTTGTCTTTGGATTTTTAGGGATTGCTTTTTTAATTTAACTATTATGTGATACTTACATAATTCAAAATCAGATTTATAAGGCAAAATATATTCCAATAAGTCTAGCTTCTCTCATCATCCCCTTTTTTCGTGTTTTTAAATATAAGTAAATGCATACGAACATGCAGATCTGTATAACTTTGTACATATTTACCCCACCTGCCTTTCTTTGATAACGTGCCATCCTTTCCTCAATCTTGCTTTTTATATTTAACCTGGGTATTACTTATCCTGGGATTACTCCGTAGCGATAAGTATATATCTTATTTCCTTTTTTAATACTGCAGTTATATATTATGTGGATTATCATATATTATTGCACCCAGTTCCTTATTTGTGGACATTTTGATTTTCAGTCTTTTTCTATTACAAATAGTGCTGCAGTTAACACTCTTACACTTAAGTCTTTTTGTATTTTTCTTAGAGTATCTTTGTGGTAGATTCTTAAAAGTGGAATTTCTGTGTCAAAGTGTAAATACACATACCATTTTCCTAGAGACTGCCAAATTCCTTTCCATTGAGGTGCCACTTAATGTTCCCACCAATAATGTATGAGAATGCCTGATTCACTTCATTCATCAATACAATATATTATCAAACTTTGAAATTGATACCACTCTGCTAATGAATGAGAAAAGGCAGTTTATTATTGAGCAAGGTTGAACATGCTTAAATACTGTAAAGGACCATAATGCTTTTTTGTTTCAGTATACATCATGTTCATATACCTTGCCCCATTTTCTGTAAAGTCTGTGGCCTGTGTCTAAGTTAAAAATATTCTTTTCAGTTAATCAGTTTTCTTACTTTAAATAGAGCATTTGGAAATGTTTGTTTATGTGAATTGTTTTGATTTTTGTATGTTGATTTATATAACATGCTACTTTCTTAGATTTAAATTTTCTTATTATTTACATAGTGTTTCCATTAATTTTTTTGGGTATCCAGATATATATAGTCATACCATCTATGAATTTATGGCTTTAACTTTATATCCTTTCCATTTCTTAAGTCTTTAATTACAGTCTTTTGTGTAATTATACACGATAATATATCTGATACAATGTAAATAGTACTGGAGATAGTGTGCATCCTTTTCTGACTTTAACAGGTATTTTCTTCTTTTTGGAAGGCACTTACAATTCATGATACAGAAAAATGCCAAACATGGGATCTTGGAACCAACTTCTTTCTCTGTGAAGATGATGTTATTAATATGAGAAATAGGTGAAGATATTTTGATGTGTTAGCATAGGATTATTTTTCACTCTTGCAATTACTTAGAATGTTATCTGTGTCCAGAACATCAGTTCAGTCATCATTGTTTAACTCATCACCATAAATTCATACTACCATAGATAAATAAGTATTGACATATAGTTAATTATATTTTTCATTTATATTTGGTATGTCATGTTATAAAAATGTATATTTTCAATACATTTACATTGCTACCAAGGAGTGAATTTCTTTAAGATTGTTAAAGGAGGTCTTTATTACTGCTGAATCATTAAATGACTTAAGGAACTTGGAGCTTGGAACTTTGAAATTGTGGGTACACTTTGAGGGTACACTTTGAGATTGCATGGCTTACTATGGAATATGACAGCATGTTGCATCTCAGGATTGTATAGTAACTATAAAGATAAGTCTTAGCTTCTTAATCCCTCTATAGCTTATTAAATTTCCATTGAAATATTTGTAGCATTTATGTTTCTCTGTTATCATAGTGTCCAAATTTGAAAGATTGAGTATATTAAACAAAAGAATAGAGAAGATAATTTATTTATCTATTTATTTTAGGGCTGAAGCTGTACTTCAAAATATTGCAGAACTAAATCCATATGTTCATGTCACATCATCTTCTGTTCCTTTAAATGAAACCACAGATCTCTCCTTTTTAGAAAAATACCAGGTTGGTACTCCATTTTATATTAGATGTTACTGACAGATTCCAAGGCAAATTGTTAATAGTATACCTAATTTAACCTTGTATTTGAACAGAATAGAAAATTTCAGGTTAAAAGACTTTTGAGTGATACCATTAGAAGATGCTTTTAAGAGAAAGGACCTAAGAACTACTGACAGAGCCATTAAATCAGTTGGCTACTCCCCAGAACTCTGTGGTTCATAGCAACATGCATATATTTCTTTCTTGTACATCTGCATATCAGAGTTCAGCTGTTCTAGTCTGAACTTAAACTCTAGAGTATGAGTTCTGCTCCATGTGCCTCTCTCCTGGGACCAGAACACATGGTCTCATGGCAATAGCAGAAGTACAAAGGGGCAGGTCCAAACATTCAAGATGTTTCAAGGTTCTGTTTGTATTACTTCCATTAATATTCCATTGGCCAAAGCAGGTCACATGGGCAAGCCCAAAGTCAAAGAGCAGAAAAATACACTGCTCTTCTAAGGCTGTGAGCAGAGGGTGATACATGATCCAATTACAGAGGAGTAAAAAATGCGGGTCAACAATTCAGTCAACCTAGGTGACCTAAAATAGTGGCAACAAATATTTCCTGCAGCTTGGATGTTCTGGAAGTGACTAGGCTGACCCTGAGTTTCCCTGGAATTAAATTGTGATGTTGTCATTGTCTAAGGAAATATACTCCTATGTTTCCCCTCTACCGTCAATTCTTCTGGCACTTGTGTGACCATATGTATGTGGGATTTTTCCCTCACTAAGCAATTCCTCAATTCTCTGGGCAACTAGGTTGGTGTCCTAAATTCAGTTCAGTTCTGACACTATCTACCTGAAGAAGATAGCATCACATCCCATAGATAAAGGGCCCAGTCACACAATATCCCTTTCTGACACCAGACTCAAGTTCAGGTTGTTACCTGTACTTCTGAGGCTGGCTATAAATCAGAGGTTTCCACAACCCCTTCCTGGGGTTCAGTTAATTTGTGAGAGCAGTTCACAGAACTCAGGAAAACAGTTTATGACTTACATTATGGTTTATTATGAAAGGCTGCAATTTAGGAACAGTCCAATGGAAGAGAAGCATACAGCAAGGTATGGGGAAGGGGCACAGAGCTTCCATGCACTCTCCAGATTATGCCACCTTCGTAGTACCTTCACATGGAGAAGTTCTGAGCCCCTGGTTCAGAGATTTTTATGTAAGTTTCATTATGCAAGTATGAATGATTAATCATTGCCCATTAGTGATTAAGATGATCTCCAGCCCTCTTCCCTTCCCCAGAGACCTGGGAGATGTGGCTGAAAGTTCTGACCCTTAAATCCCAAGGTTCTCTTGGCAACCAGTCCCCCTCTGTAGGAGTTTTCCAATAGTCACATTAACTTAAACTCTAGTGTATCTGAAAGGGCCTTGTTATGAACAAAGCACATCTATTTCACCTATATCACAATGGAGCTATTTCAGAAACTAGGACAAATCTAAATATTATAACAAAAGATGCCCCTATAGCTCCTACATAGGAAACTACAAGAGCTTTGGGAGCTGTATGCCAGAAACCTTAGATGATGACCAAAATAGGTATTTCTTATTGTAATCAAAATACTACAACCATTTAAAAATCTGTATCCATTCTGGACTGAATAACTTGAAAAACATCCTGCTAAAAGATGCTTAATAGACCTTTTACAGCAGAACTGCTTAATAGACTTTCTTTCAAATTACTACCTGAGCTCAAAATAATGTAAGTGAAGTGCTCAGAGACCAAAATGAATAGGTAGGTAAAAGACCAGTGAACTATTGGCTGTAGTCACTTTCAGGGACAGGGGTTACCCTGTCTTAGTAACCACATTTGTTAGGAATTAATAGTCACACAGAAATAGAAGATACAAAATAGGTATATATTAGACAGAAATGGGATTGAGACCTATGCCCTCTTTTTAAAGCTGGAACCTCAGAGAGCTACACTTCCAGTGAGAGAGTAGATAATAATACCCATCAGAACAAGAAGCTTGTCTATTTTCTCTTGAGCTTTAGATGTAAAAGTAAAGGTCTTCCCTGGAATTTCACCACCATAGATCTGCTCTTACATAAGTTTGGAAATCAACTTTGTAATCCTTTGTAGTCTATAATTCTGAAGCTGAGAATTTATAAAAAGTAGTACTGACCTGGTGATACCCTGGAATGCCGGACAGAAACAGAACTTAACAAATCTAGAGGAATATATCCTCAACTAAGCCATATTATATTCCAATATATAAAGCCCCTTTGAAGATGAGTTCACAATACAAAATAACAAGGTAGGAAAAAGTTCAACATTATCAAGATCTTTAGATACAAAAAAACAATACAATTAAACCTTGAAGAATTTTATATAATAGACTTATTGAATAGTGTCTATGAAATATAGATGTTCAAACTGACTAAAAGAAGGGATTGAATATATAACATGAAAATAAGACATTATTAGAAACAAACAGATGTGATAAATAGATCTTTTAGGAGTGAAAATATAGTCTTAAAAATTAAAACAGTAGATTAAACAGTGAATAGATGCAGTTGGAGTAAGAATTAGAGAATTGATAGAGCTAAGGAGATTACTAAACCGACAACACCCAGAAATAAGAAAATACGAAAGAGAAATGAAAAGAAATGAGAATTTGAATAAAAAGGTCCAATTCATGTGACTGGATTTTTGGAAGGAGAGCAGTAAGGAAAGGTTCAGATAAATCATCGATGAGAATTTTCCAGCATTGAAACTCAGATTGGGTAGGTGCTGGGTCTAGGATTTGATTTTACCCTGTTTACAAGGTTATAAGTTAGCCTGTTATTTGTTTCATGGGTACTGACAGAAATCATAAGATTTCTGGGTTAGACTATGGAATTTACTATTCAGAGCAAGAAGTAAGAAATAAGATTATCATATTTGCCTCATTTCCATTTCCCTTCCCCAACATCCCACTAGTACAGTGCAGAGGGCTCAATGGATGCCTGTACATGTGGTGGGTTCCTTTAGAAGAGAGGAACACTGAGCTTGGGGAACCCTGTTATACAGCAAGCAGTAAACAAGCTTGTTCTTTGTTCAATGGGGAGATATAACCTCACCCCCCAAGTTTACACAAGGCAAATACAGTTCTGAGAAATGGCCCAGCTAAGAATAATCAGAACCTTGCGTTCATGGCATACGTGGTGAGATATATATAGAGAGAGAAAGAAAATGAGAGACCCATGGAGGAATATCTCCTTACAGAAAGCACACCAAACTCTGAGCTAGATAAAACTAAATCCATACCTGGGTATTTGTAGTGAAACTAAGTTACTCTTATTCATAGAAATCAGCAGCAAGGAAAACTTTAGACTGAGAGTCTAGCTCTGCTTTCATCGCTTGATATATGAATCACCCTAAGAAAGTATTTGCCCTTTACAAGTCTGAGTGGTGATAAAACCTATTATAAGACTTCTGCTACTTAACTCATATGGTGATGACAAAAGATTAAATAAGCATTCAAATTAAAATTTGCTGTCTTAAATAACAGAACTTGGTGGTTTCAGGAATGGTACTGTCAAAGCAAAAGTTGCTACATTGTGTATCAGTTCAATCTCTGAAGTAAAAGAAAGCTAAGCCAACAAATATATCTCTTTAGAAATATGATTGTTACTCCTTTAAGGTAACATGAATTAATATTCTGATGACTAGGTTAGTATTTCCAGACAGTAACAGATAAAAATCTCCAACCATTTGAAGTAAATACAACATAGGATATTAAGATTTGCTTCTAATTGTGAAGCCTATCATGGTAATTGAATTTAATGTGGTCAGGTTTCTCCCTGTATGTTATTTTTACTTTTGCAATTGCATATCTTTGAGGGTATTGAACCTAGAATGGAATACAATAGGATAGTGAGGTTTTTTCCCCAAGAGAAACAATACCCTTTTAGCATAATGCAAACTGAAGTGCTTCTGATTTAGAAGTTGTACATTACCAGAATAATTGTATGTTTTCTAGTCTTTAATTTCTTATATTCTTCTCAACAGTGTGTAGTACTGACTGAGATCAAACTTCCATTGCAGAAGATCATCAATGACTTTTGCCGTTCTAAGTGCCCTCCAATTAAGGTAATAGTATCACTTAGTAATGGCATGTAGTTAGCCAGAAGAACACTTCCACTGTTAGAATTTGTAGCTTTTCAGTGGGTTAGATAAGAAGCTCTTTTTCCCATGAGGACAATCACAATAATATTTTTCTCTTTAATTTTAATATATTCATTTCCTATTTTTAAAACAGATCTAAATTTGGTTCATAGGGATATTGGCAAAACTAACGAAGTTAAGATTAGGAATGGAAAGAGTGGTAAATAATGAGTTTATCATCTAAATTTAAACATGGTATGATGGTGGTTTTCGAAAGGTTATTTTAACAAATATTTATTGAGCATCTCCTATATACAGATACAGTTCCAGGCAGTAGGATTACATTAGTGAATAGGACATACAAATTTTCCTCCTCAAGAAAATTACCTTCTAGTAGGAAGATAAATAATAAACAAGCAAATAAATATACACATACCTGTGGAGAAAAAGCTAGATAAAGAATAGAGTATAATGTCTGCATGATGTTTGGAGGAGGACCAGTCCAGGACCTTAGACTGAAAGTCAGGGAAGTCCTCTCTGAGGACATGGCATTTGAAGAGAGACTTGAATAATGAGAAAGAACCAGCTATGTAAAGATTTGGGGAAGAGCATTCAAAGCATGGAGAACAGCAAGTATAGACTTGCAAGTGTAAAAATTCACTTGTATTTGAGGAACAGTGAGAAGCAAGCAGAACCAGAATGGAGACTGGGTGAAGAGGAGAAAATAGTAAAATATACTGGAAGAGCATGCTCAGAGAAGTAATTACTGGGCCATATCTTATAGATCTCTGAGGATAGCTAAGTTTTAAGCATGTGAGTTTTGATCTCATGTGTATTTTTAAAAGATCATTCTGTTTGTGCTATTTGGAGAGTAGACTGTCAGTAGTTTCAAAGTGTGGTCCAAGGACACTGAGGACCCCTGAAACCCTTTCATGGCATCTGCAAAATGAGACTATTTTCTTAATCTTACTAAAATGTTATTTTTCTTTTTCACTCTGATTCTCTTATGGGGTACAGTAGAGTTTCCAGAGTCAGCTTGATAATGTGGTGATTTCATTGCTCTAACAGCTAATGGAGTGTGTCTGTGTGTGTGTGTGTGTGTGTGTGTGTGTTTATGTTTTAAATGTTGCTCAGTTTTAATTTCTAACACAGTAAATATCAATCGGTATAACCAAGTACACAAAAGCTCTTTGGGTCCTCGGTAATTTTTAAGAATGTGAAGGAATCACAAAACCAAAAAGAGAATCATTGAATTATTAGAGTAAGGCAAGTCATTTAGGTAAGATGCTGCTGCCATATTCAAGAGAGTTGAGTAAAGAGATTGTGAGAAGTCATTGAATTTGAGGTATCTTTTGTGAAAAAGGCTAACAGAACTTGAAGTAGATGAATGTGAGTTGTGAAAAAAGAATGATCAAGAATGACTCCTAATTAGGTGAGTAGTGGTGACATTGGGAAAACTGGAAAGAGGTTTAGATGGTAAAAATCATAATTCATTCCCTGTAGTTGAATATATAATACTAACTCCACCTCTTTGTGGGGTCATTTGTTCCTTCAGAAAAAAGAAAAAGCTATGTATTCATTTGAGATAGGCAGTAAGCCATCATCATACTGTATAAAATAGGTGTGCTGAAAATCTTTGGATTATGGTTGGTATATACATAGCATTTCTATACTCTGAAGAATTGTTCAGAATTTAAATGAAGCAGGTGAATAAGATATAGAGTAGTCAGTAAACTGGCATGGGGGCACAGAAGTTTTATAAAATAATTATACTAGCTTATAATCTAAAATCTCCATGTCATTGGTACGTACATTCAAATTTTAAAGTTTTTGAAAATAATTTGTCCTCTACTCTGCACCTTTTTTTATTGTTATCATTAATCTACAATTACATGAAGAACATTATGTTCACTAGGCTCTCCCCTACCCCAATTCCCCCCCACAAACCCCATTACAGTCACTGTCCATCAGCATAGTAAGATGTTGAAGAATCACTACTTGTCTTCTCTGTGTTGCACAGCCCTCCCCTATCCCCCACCCCCTACATGATACATGATAATCATAATACCCCCTTTCTTCTTCCCTGCCCTTATCCCTCCCTACTCTCCCATTCTCCCCAGTCTCTTTCCCTTTGGTAACTGTTAGTCCATTCTAGGGTTCTGTGATTCTGCTGCTGTTTTGTTCCTTCAGTTTTTCCTTTGTTCTTATACTCCACA